TCCCGCGCCTGCCCGCCCGCAGGTCAGCCGGCTTAGGGGGCGGAGCACGGGCCCAGGTCTCTCGATTGGCGTCGCGTCCCTCGGCCCCAGAGGCCGATTTCGTCGGGTTTTGAGGCCGGCTCCAGCCTCCGCCCTGGGTGGTGGACCCGAGCAGAACCCGCCACCCGCTCCGCAGGGCTACTACCGGCGCCCCCGCCTACATCCCCATCCGAACGGGAGCGCGCGGGCGCTTCGCGGTGCCCATGGTGCACATCGACCTTCCTCGTGGACTGCGCAAGGCGGCCTCGGCGGAGCCCTGCCTCCTACCCGCCCCACCCGACTACACCTGCCCTTCGACGACATCATCGTGTTCCTTTCCTGCAGCAAGCAGGTGCGGTGCGCCATGGGGCTGTCGGCTTCCGGCTCCAAATAGAGCACATTAGGGACGATTCGCAAACTGGAACTGCAGGGGTGCAGGGCCGCCTTCAGGTGCAGCTGGATCCAGGGTGTTCAGACCAACGTTCCCAGATCCAGGTTGTCTCCAGCCCTGACTCGTCCTAGCCTTTTTTTTTTTTTTTTTGTTGGACAGTTCGCTTCTGTCTGCCCAGGCTAGAGTGAGTGCGTCGGCGTCAGCCTCGCTCAACCAGCAACCCTCAGACTCCTGGCTCAAGGCGGATCCTCCTGCATCAGTCTCCGAGTAGGCTGGGACTAAAGGCATGCTACCACCATGCCCGGCTGATTATATGTAATATATTTTAGTTGGCCAATTAATTTCTTTCTATTATATAGTAGGAGGCGGGTTCTCGCTCTTGCCTCAGGCTGGGTTTGAACTCCTGACCTGGGATGATCCTCCCGCCTCGGCCTCCCAGAGGTGCCTAGGTTACAGGCGTGAGCCACCGATGCTGGCCTCTTTTTGGAGACAGAGGTCTCCACTCTGTTGCCAGGCTAGAGTTGAGTGCCTGGGCGTCAGCCTTCGCTCACAGCAACCGCAAACCTCCTGCGGCTCAAAGCAAATCCTCTGCTCAGCCCCTTCCGGGGAGTAGCTGGGGACTACAGGCATGCGCCACCATGCCGGACTATTTTTCATGATATTTTTTAGTTGGCAATTAATTTTACTTTCTATTTATGGTAGGACGGGGGTCTCCTTTCTTGCTCAGGCTGGTTTTGAACTCCTGTTGAGCGATCCTCACCGCCTCGGCCTCCCAGAGCGCTCGGGTTGCAGGCGGAGACGCGCCCGCAGCAGCCCCCGTTTCTGACGGTGCTCTCCCACGCAGGAGGTGCAGATGCACGTGTGCACAAAAGGAGCGTGTCGGCTTCCTGCCGGTTGGCCGCTGCGCTCCCACAGCGGCCTCCAGGACGGAGACGAGAGCTTCATGGACACGTGCAGGCTGGAGGTCATGGGAACGTCTGGCGCTTGCTGCCCCGGGAGGGGCCGGGGCGCCTCCCTTTTGCAGCCGTCCAGCATCTACCAGTGGCACTGCGGTCCCATGCGCGGGCGCGGGGTCGAGGGCGTGCATGGTGGGGACGCGGTGGGGTGGCCGTCCCCGCTCCCACTGAGCTGCCGTTTGTAGGAGCTGACACGCGTGCTCACGGGGTAGGGGGGGTTCCTGGAGACGAGGTGGCGTCATGGAGCAGGAGGCGAAGTCACGGGA